AAAGTCGAAACACGGAGGTCGGTTTCGAACCACGGACCTTCCGATCAGTAAATTCGCGCTCTAACCACTGAGCCATCCCGACCTTTTCTACGTTTAACTTTACCACGAGTATGTTGCTAAAGTAATCTCCGTCTGCTAGCAACTGGTTTGGGTGTTTGGTACACCAACTTTTATAACTCTATTGAAGCTGCACTCGAGATAGCTCAGTGGTTAAGGTTTAGAACTTACAAACTGGAAGGTCTGTCTCTCGAACCCAATCTCGGCATCTCAACTGCTCCTGTCTAGGCATGGGCAATCTGACAGCTTCCTTAAGGTGGCGTGGCGCAGCTAGACACCAAAAGGATGTCACAGCTGAGCGAGCAGTGAATTCGATGCGAAGTCGGGCCCCGCGGAGATGCAAGTAACATTAAATACCTTATATAACTCTGTTGCACACACTATTTGAGTAGGTGGATCCAAGCAGAAACCTCGCGCGTGCATTTGGGCCGGTCAGTAGGATTGGTACATTCGTTTAAGTAGATATTTTCCTCAGTCTTGGTAGCCTGAATCGCCTGGGCTGGATACTGCCGCGATGATATGGTTTCAAACGCATCAGTTTTATTTTCGAACGGCACATTGTTTTGCTGACTTTTGCTTGTTGTCCCCCCCAGCTAAAGAGTTTCTGTTTTTTGCTGTGGATGACTTACTCTCTCCACCCTCGCTTCTCCCACATACTACACGCCAGTGAGGAGGAATTCATTTCCCAAGCGGAATTCGTTGTACAAAAAGTTACTCTTCGTCAATCTACACCCGTGTCCCGTCTGCTTTGCATCACGGACAGTCTGCTTCTGGAACGGGATCCTCCAAGCTATCGAGCTGTTTGTGGATATCCTTTGTGTGAAGTAAGCCCTCCCGTCCCTTTGTTGCAACTTGCTCTATTGTCTTTGGTTCCTTCAACTAGTCTCTTGCAATCCGTGTGTTTCTTTCCCGGTAGATTTATACTCTTGTTCGGGACAGAGTTCAACCCCAGCGGTTTTTAATCGAATACGTTCGAGGTGAATCCAAAACCTATTTCTCCACAGACAGGTAAGTGTGATGAGAGTGCAATAAATACACATGCCTGTTTACAAAGTTCCACTATGACCGCGTTCCCTAGCACGCCTTTTAATTGTCTTTTTGTATGGCTCACAACCAAACATTCCGTTGAAGGGTTCCGTGAACTCCTCCGTATCCCAATAGTGTTTTAAGGTGTTTCCTCACCGAAAATCTAAGTGCCACACCCGTTCGAGATGGCTCAGTGGTCAGGGCGCGAACCCGAAGGTCTATGGTTCAACTGCTTTTATTTAGGCTCGGGTAACCTGACCGCATTTCACCTCTCCTGTTTCCTTAGAGTGCCACGCTAGCTGTGCACCGAAAGGGTGTTCCTGCCTAGGCTTTTATTTATTTTAATTTTATTTTATTGCCATGCCCTTTGAAGTGAAATCCGGTTGAGAATGTTCTTATTGGTTTACGCAAGTTATCAGTGGATTTCCGCGCCAGCTGATTCATACCCAACCGTCGATCGATATCAAATTACGTAGACGTTCTATTCCTAGCTTTACTTGCCAAGCAAACGTGCAGACATCCGAAAACCCAATAAACTCACTTTGATATGTATCGCTTTCTGAATATGAACTTCTCCGGACCATGCGTTTACACAGACGCAACTCACGACACCGGCATATTGACAACCACTTGGTCATGTGACCACAAGTACTACTTTTCAGAGAGCAAAATAGTCGGCTTCTGATTCTTTTTTTATGTGGGTTTAGAATCCCCAACAACGCAGCGCAATCTTGTGTATTCCAGCCCTCTGCAGTGCTTTGTATGAATGGCCTTCACGAAATACCTTCCCGAAGTCCTGTTGGCTATGATTGGGGCGAATTCATTCCCAATTGAACAATCTTACTCTACGGTAGTTGTATTAGATCTGACGGAAGTGTGTCTGATAGAGTCAGCATGCGAATCTCAAAGGCCCGAATCGCGGTTGCTAAGTCACGTCACTTGTGGCGTTAAAACGGCGCATCTCGGGGTATCGAGGGTTGCATTTACAGTAAAAGCTGTGTTGTCGTAGGATTGCCGTACGTGGTCTCTGCAGACACATGATTCGAAGCTTCTTCTGATTTTTGACCACCGTTGCTTCAGATGTGTTGCGAGTGTCGGAGGGCGTCAACGGATTCGCAGTGAATTCATCAGAAAACGGGTATCTGGTTGTGCAGAAGTTACTTCAGTCCCAATACCACCATCTACGGCGACCGAACCATGTGCTATGCATACCAAAACATCGCTTACTGAGACAAAAGTTTCTCTCCGTGCCTCCTTCAGAATGGCGCTAGCTTCCAATTGGTCGACGTATGACTTCCGAGAATGGTGTGAGTACGAAGAGGTTTGGTGTTAGTGAGGTCCGCCTTCTAGGATGGGGTCCTCGCGACCCTTCCTGCGCTTGGACGGAGACAGTGCAAGAAATGGTGGCTGACCGATGTCAGTAGCGTTCTTGTTGTCAGTTCCTTTCCAGATTTTCCGATTGACCGCTTAGGGGGGTAGGCACCTCAGCATGCTTGCGATAGGCCAGCATGGTAACGAAGCGTCGGTGTTGAACACTGATGTCATGCTGTCGATGATGGTGATGATGACGATCTTCTAATCGGAAGATCCTAAACACTGAAATATTGTACCACGGTTGCCGTCGTACTATAGCGGATCTTAGCTGGCCGCAGACAAATGCTGTCTAAGTGTGAGGACTTGGCAACGAATCACCAAAACAGCAGATGAGGCTTGTGAAGTTTCGGTGCAATATGCTTGACCAACCACCAGCTACCAAACAAGGCACTGTTTCCCACTCGAGACCCCTCACAAAAAATTCGTCGGGGATGGAAGACATCCTCTGATCTCGAGACGCAAAACAAACGCGGATACAGTCGAACTGGGCACTGTCCTGATATCGCTGACTGAGGATCACTTGATCATCCCCGGAAGCGAGGCATTGGCGAAAGTAATGCTTTTCAGTTCATAGACAAACATAAGCTTACCCGACCGTTTTCTGCAGATCCTCAATGGTCCCTGCCTGCAGGCGAGTTTTACTCAACACGGCGCATTGACTTATGCCTCCTTGAACACCATCTATTTCAATTTCATTTTTCACCATTGCTGTGTTACATGCGTTTTACCGCCTGTCGCATCCGTCGTCCAAAGCTACTACACATAGATGACATCGGGATTTTTGGATTTTAATGATCCCAGTCATCATACTCTTTTCCCATGATGTTTTTCATCAACTTTCCTTCCTTCCTNGCTTACCCGACCGTTTTCTGCAGATCCTCCATCAATGGTCCCTGCAGGCGAGTTTTACTCAACACCGCGCATTGACTTATGCCTCCTTGAACACCATCTATTTCAATTTCATTTTTCACCATTGCCGTGTTACATGCGTTTTACCGCCTGTCGCATCCGTCGTCCAAAGCTACTACACATAGATGACATCGGGATTTTTGGATTTTAATGATCCCAGTCATCATACTCTTTTCCCATGATGTTTTTCATCAACTTTCCTTCCTTCCTTTCAAACCTACCCCATCCTGGACGTTCATTCTCTTTTCTTTACCAGAGATACGCTGTTAGCCTCACTCCTAGATGCTGTTCGGGCCAGTGGGAACCGAGATGTGTGTGTCCGAAGCACACCCTCCAATCGTGGTCTCCGCTTTTGCCCCACAATGACGTCAGCATCAGAGGAAGTCGAATCTGTGCATCTTCGTTTCCTCCGTCAGCAACCAGGTGAGGAGGCTAAACTAGCCCCGCATACACTTAATATATATGTGTATATACATAAGTTTATATTGAGTATGTATGTACTCGGACTATAAGTAAATACTGAACTCGCGACAGCTCAGTGGTTAAGGTGTAAACTTACGCCCGTGGTTCGAACCCAACCTCGTCAACTGGACCGTCTCTAGGTTTGGGCAACCTGGCAGTATCTCAGTCCTCGTGCTTCCTTTGGGTATCGTAAGTATATTTGAGTACCCCGCTCCCTCAGGACGATCGATTTTTTTCCCTATCTGCTGTGCCTTTCGTACTGTGAGTCCGAGCTTTGTGAGTGTCGCTTTGGGAGAACGCACCTCAGTGTGGATCCCCAAGGATAGACTTGAATAGCCTTTGTGTAACGTTTTGAATAACTGACCAACAGAGATAGTTCGCTCTGTTTCTCCTCATTGCCTTGTGTGATCTGCCGAGGTTGGTGTCTGGGTAAGTCAAGGACGTACACCCTTCCAGTCAAATCCATATCAACGTTTAGAAGATTCTTTATTCTACGGGGCTCTCAACCCTGGACTCGATGAGGTCTCTGTCGAGCCCACCGTGACAATGTCCAATAGGGATTCACTGCCTGAGGTCATGCAACACAGCAGTTTTTAACTGAGTACGTCACGGACGCAGTGAGAATCGTATGTTGTCGGCCTGGCCACAGGTGCGAAATTTCCCGTGCAATTCGCATTCAGTCCAAGTAATTGAGGATTCTCCTTACGATGAGAGCTAGAGCGCGAATTTACTGACCGGAAGGTCCGTGGTTCGAACCCGAAGTCCGCCTCTCGACTTCCCTGTCTAGACTTGGGCAACCTGGCAGTATCCCAGCCCTCGTGCAACCTTCGGGTGGCATGACAGGTAGGTACCGGATGGGTGCTAAAGCTGAACGATTACGATGAGCGAAACAACAACCGAGATGTTCTTCTGCTCTCTCTGTATTCGGCCAACTAGTGTTGTGAATGGAAAAGAAAGTTATTCGCTCTCCAAACTTATAAATTCAGTTTCTAAACTTTCGTTTATTTTCTCACGGCTTCTATTCCATTCAGAGGGAATTTCATTCTGGGAAGTCTTACAACGTTTCAATGCCAACGTGGCCTACAGTGGTCTACTACACGCCGTCACTCAAGATGTGAGTTGTTCTCTCTCTCTCTATCTTCAGTTGTCATGGCAGTGTTTATGTCGCGTCGCATCTTTCCGTACAGGATTTCGTATTGTTCAAAGGAATTTGAGTTGCATCGATATCGAGAGTGTCACAAAATCCCAAATACAAAGGAGAAAAACCATACGTGCTCAGAAACAGGGATAATGGAAAATAGCAGGAGCACACTCGACTTGTTCCCTTTCCGGTTGGCGTACGCCCCAATGCTTGGAGTATTCTGTTTAGTGTATCACAGTCCAGAAAAAAAAACAGAATATGAACACGGAGGTAAATCTGCCAAGGAGCCGGTCCATGCACGATCGCAGCACCCGTCACCTGAGCAGTTGCCACAGGATTCCCACTAGATACCTGTTTAGGGGGTCGCTGTGAATTCTTGTTACTGGGAATCGGATCGTGAACCTAAGGCATGTTGCTTGTGTGTGCACGTTGTGTAATGAGCTCACGGGAGTTCCCCCCGATGTTTTATCTTCGCACTAATTTCTGATCGTTCGGTCGGCGTGCATGGATGTAGTTGTATCCAAGTGTGTCCAAGGAGTAACACGTAGTCGCATCCTTTTTTGTGGAATCTGTTTTTCATCGTACAACTGTTCCAGTACACCACATTTCCCCCAAATTTTAGGGTGTGTTCGCTGAGAACAAGGAGAAACTGATCAAGGACGCACTCTCTGCAATTCTGACCCAACCCGCGCCCGGTTTGGATACTTCGCTATTCGCCACTCTGCCAGGTGTCGGATCCAGACCCATGGATACCAAAAGGGGTCAGATGAAACATGCGGATCCTGATGCGCAGCTGGTGCTGCTGGAGGCTCAGTTTCACGCCCTTCGCCGTTTGGTTGCGTCCAAGGCGGGGTTTAACGCGTTCACACAACTACCCGGGTAGGTTTTCGAAAAAGTTTGGTGACAATCGGTAGATTTATTGCTGGGCAACGTTTCGCTTTTGACACAAAAGCTTCGTCAGGCCAAGTGACTAGGTTCCGAGGTTGATCGAGATTTAAGGCGGAAGGAGAACCAATCAGCTAAGTCGGCCGAGGGATTTTAGTGTGTTAGAGTGGTAGGTCTTCAATGACAGATGAGACCACATTTTTATGGATAGAGGAGAGGCAGTGCAATGTTGACTGAGAGGTCCTTGTTTCCTCACAGTGTGTACGGTGCGCCCACTCTCCGTTATTCTCTCCATATTTCTGTCGAAGAGAAGGATATCGGTAGATTTATTGCTGGGCAACGTTTCGCTTTTGACACAAAAGCTTCGTCAGGCCAAGTGACTAGGTTCCGAGGTTGATCGAGATTTAAGGCGGAAGGAGAACCAATCAGCTAAGTCGGCCGGGGGATTTTAGTGTGTTAGAGTGGTAGGTCTTCAATGACAGATGAGACCACATTTTTATGGATAGAGGAGAGGCAGTGCAATGTTGACTGAGAGGTCCTTGTTTCCTCACAGTGTGTACGGTGCGCCCACTCTCCGTTATTCTCTCCATATTTCTGTCGAAGAGAAGGATAGTTCAGTTGTAGCACCCTTTCGCTGCCTAACTGCTAAGTTATCCAAGCCTAAACAGGGGATGTCAAGTGTCAGAGGTCAGGTAAGGACCACGGACCTTCCGGTTAGCTAATTCTCGCTCTAACCGCTGAGACATTTCGCCCCTCTTGTCGAAGAGAGCATGAGAAAGATGGAGAAACCGTCATTTGTTTGAAGTAAAGTGCGGTTTCGTAATTTTGAATAGAAATCTTCCTGTTCTGTTTTCTCACTCCTCTGATCGTTACAAAAACCGTTAAACTGCAGCACTCTTCCGGTGCCTAGCTGCCATGCCACCCGAAGGAAGCACGAGGGCTGGGATACTGCCAGGTTGCCCAAGCCTAGACAGGGGAAGTCGAGAGACAGATGTCGGTCAGTCAATTCGCGCTCTAACCACTTGGACTATCCCGCCCCAGTCCTCTTAAAAGTTACATGTAACCTGGATCGAGCCGATATGTCGTTGTTGGTGCTCTTCCTGTTTTCCAGTTCAATGGTTTGGAAGTCATCTTCGGACGAAGCATCGTCGTATGCAGTCAGAGTTTTCCTAGCTTTAACCGCAAGTGCAGTTCTCTACATCAGAACTGCACCCCAGTCTAGTCCGTTGAAGTTTTTCTTACCGATAAGTTCCCATTGAGGGCTAACCACTCCTGGCGGGTGGGGTGCGTGATTGGTAGTGAATTTACATCACTGGAACAGCGGATGAGGCATTCACTACGCAAGTCAAACCAACCTTGGGCGAGTGACAGTCATCGTGGTGGATGGGTTGGTTGCTCTTTTATGATATCCTGTAGGTGAATCGACTTCCCTGCGTTTTTCCTGTGATGTATACACTCAAGAGCATGTTTCGCCACCCGTCTACTGTTCGCTTGAATGCAGTCTTCACGTCGCTTGGCGGAAATATCTTACAGCATTTTCAACCACACACATTGGGGATCACGCGGTCCCCTGATCTTGGAAGAGGAGTCGCACCGACAGCACCAAGACTTTTCGTCATCTCTTTCATACCTCTCTGTCAGATCAGGAGTTGACCACCTCTTTGCTTCCGTCACTCTCTCCGATAAACGATGCTTTGGCGTGCCTATTACCTGATCAAACCACCACGTTTGATGCTGGACATATTCTTCGATGGAAGTCCCCATTGCACAACGGAATAATCCTTTTCTCGTTGTTTCGTTACAGATTCGGTAGCACGAGCCTACACGAGCTATGATTCCGTGACAATGATTGTCGAAGATCTGATAATGCCTCCGTTCGTTGGATAGTTTAAGCTACGTTTCAGAACCACACAAGCCTGATAGTCAGGGCTATATCGCTTTGCCTCCATAGCTATCTCACTTTAGCAAACGCGACCCCAAACTTTGAGTTTTGTGCATTGATCTCATCTGTCCCACTACAATCGGAACTTATAGACAAGTAAAGTGCTCCACAATCTCGAGTGCATCGCTCGGGTTGTGATTGACGTGTTCGGTGACTGCGTGTTCAGAAGCGTGACCTTGGACTTTGTGGACGCAAAGCGCATGTCAAGGGACTTTGATCAGTTCATAAACGGTTCAATTTTAAGGATCCTATTGCCGAAGAATTGATCAGGCAGATTTAGGAATTCCCTGCTGTTCATTTTGTCGAACATTTTCATCATTAGTTGGAAAGCGGGAATGAAAGCGTCGTTAAGAGGACCGACCGTTCACGTTGCCGGCTACCGAGTCTCAAAGGGAAACATAGAACCTCGGGTTTTTTCGGCAAACTCCATCCTGGCATCAAACTGAGAGTTGAACTGAAGATGACAATGAACACGTAACATTGTTGTATATTGGTTCAAACCGTTTGGAAGATGGAAGCATGTTTATCGCAGACACACTTGTCTACACTTAGTCAGTTTCCCACGAGATGATTGCAAGCGAGGATAAGCGCAAACTATGTATGAGAGATCCGAGGATATACTCATAAGGTCCCATCGCCACTTGAACGAACTATTCCACTCAGACGACCGCCACCGCATATGTACGGAAGAGAGATTGTGCCAGTATTGTGACTAGGATTGTACACTAAATACGAAGTGAGCTTCCTCCTTTGTTTGAAGCTCCTCTGGTGGTCCGCCACTCGAAGAACCTCCAGATCCATCCCACTCTACATGTCGTTTCTTGTGTGGGGGGCTTGGACGTCGGCCTACGTATACAGGTCGGGAGACAACTTCGACTAAGGGTAGTTTAACACGTGCTTGTCGGATTCAGGAAGTCCGTAAAATTGGCCCGCCTCCCAACCCTGATCAAAGTTAATCTGACCCTCACGCATCTATCACAAGACATCTGCTGGAGACCAGACACTAAACGAACACAGACGTTGCTTTCGGGGTCCTACTTCACACCTAACAGATAGTTACGTCGATTCGTTAGAGTAGTTGCTGTTGCTGAATGGAGCCCCTGTTCAGTTCCATAATGATTTGGGAACTCTTTCACTGAATGTTAGTCACTTTCTCTCTAGGTTATTTTTATTTTTCGTTTTTTTATTTACCATCGTGTGTACTACCTGAAGAAATTGCGCTGTTTTTGAATTTCATAACCGTTTAAAACTAACATCTAGTTTTTGGTACACTTTTCGAGAAAGGCAATCCGGATGGATTCCCTTGAAGTCCTATAAACGTAAAATCACCGTCAAATAATGAAATATGGGATCATCAAGAGTAGAGACTACTTGTCCGGAGG